GAGCTAAGGCCAAAGAAAAACCTTGTCATAGTTAGGGTAAAGGCAATGTACTGAAACGGGTTATAAATAAAAACCTTGTGTTCATTTTCTTTATTGAAATATGTTATAAGAAAAACAGTCACGAGAAAGTTATAGAAGTAATTCAAATACATGTAAGGTATTCTCCAAAACTAGACAAAGTTCAAATAAAAACTTGTCAAAGTCATTTCAAGAAACATGTGTATTCCTATTTCTTTTATCGTATATTAACACCATTATGAAGTTGAGACGTCTTCTTCATTAAGTGTCGAATATAAAAGGGCCCTCTTTTATAATTCATGATTGATTTAAGACATTCATGAGAAAAAGAAAGCATTTTACAAAATAAAAATGCAAGTTATTCAGTAAGTCCTTAAAAAATAAAGGCAAGAATAAACAAAACAGAAGTTCAAACAGCAACGGAAATTTCTTCATATTAGAAAAGTTTAGACTAAGCATGAACTTAGTCATAAACCAAAAGTTGTTTACACAAAATGCCCCATAAAAGGTCTGGGGACTTAACGTTTTAAATAAACACTTAAAAAGACCAAGGGTTTCCACCACATACCATCAAAAAGAAAAAAACAACAAAAGGGATTTAAACAATATAAACTTTTCACTGAGAAGTTGAAGGAACTGAGCAGGAACATCAACAGCAGCGGGCTCAGCTTGACTTGAAGGAGTGAGGATACCCGTATCATCTTCAACATTTTCAGAAGCTTCAGCCACGGGAGAAGAAAAATCTTGGCTCTGCTGGGTTTTCTCAATAGTCTCTTTGATCTTGGCTAACTCAGATTCCAAGTTAAAATTCTCTTGGCTAGCTTCAACGAGGGTATCATGGCGAGAATTTAAAAATGCCCAACTTACTTCAATGGCAGTTTTATCTTCAAGGATTTCATAATCTCTCTCCCAGTCAGCAATTTCATTTTTTAACTTTTCATTTTCAGCCAAGGCAGATTCATAAGAAGCTTGAAGAGAAGCGTGGGAATTTTCTGAAGAACAAACCTTATCAGAAGATACCCGGAGGTCTTCTTGAGTTTGAGTCAAATTCTGCACGAGTTCACCAGCATACGCTTCTTTTTCACCCAAGAGAGCCTTCAACTCTCTAATTTCTTCACTTGCCTTGGACAATTGCTCGGAAAAAGAGGTCTCCAGACGAGCCTTTTCCTTATCAGCTTGTTTTGAAGAAGCCTTTTCAACTGCCAATTTTGAGGTCAAAGCCCGTACCTGCTGCTCTAAGGTACTTTTACTTTCTTCTAGCGTTTCCACCTCAATTTGAAGATTGTCACACCGTTACTTCCAATTATCTGCTTCCATTTGATAGTCACGCGTTAGTTGTTCAGAGAGGGTAACTCTTTTCATCATCTCCGTGCCAATTAAATTGACCTAAAAGAGAAGAGAATATGAGAACTCTGAAAACAGAAAAAGGTTAAGTAAAGCTTGAAAAAGGGATACCTTTAAAGAAGCATGCACTATGTCATTCATCAAGGTCAAAGAACTGTGGCTATCAAGCTTAGCTCTTTCAATTGGACCAATCAAAGGCTTAAGCCACACGTTTGCTTGACCTGATTTCCTTAAAAGATTACCCTCAGCAGGAACTTCAATAGTGACTTGCCTCATAACAGTACCTCTACTTGAGGAACCAACCTCAGTATGATGAACAAGTGGAGGGGGAATTGTTGAAGGAGGTACAGTAGAAGCAGTAAAAACAGTTTGGGGAGGAACGGAAACATCCACGATCGGCAAAGAAGGAGTCACAGGAGTAGAAAAAGAAGCCAGGGGTGCTTCATCAGAAACAGGACCAAAATCTTCACTACCAAACCCGCGGTTAAAAAACTGCTCAACAGAATCATGAGCAGCAGCGGGAACATCATCAACATCATCAGGTATCACCACTGTGGCTTCAACAGACTCGGTAAGAGGAATAGAACGGCGGGGGGATGATTCATCATCAGAGATAATACGTCTACAAGCCCGTGGCCTTGTTACCAAGGAACCCTCATCTTCCTCTTCTTCAGAGTCTTGGTCATCAATGGCTTTTCTTTTCGTTTAAGAGCCCAAAATTATTTCTTTGGCCCTTTCGTAAGAAATACGAGAAGCCACGACCGCCTCAGCACTAATCCCTCGAACTGCAAATCCTGATAAAAAGAAGGATTAAAACAAGTTCAGGAAAAAGCAATGTGTAAAATAAAAAAAATTATTACCATGAGTTTTCACTTTCCAACCAAATCGTTGGGAAAGAGTCTTCCAAGATCTACCCTCCATTAGGGCAGTGTTCAACAGCTTTCCTACCCAAATATGGAAATTGGGAACATCGTCCACAACTCCCATGGTTGCTGGAAAATAAAAGGAAAGTTAGAATAAATAATCATCAAAAATTGAAGGGAAAAAGGTACGAGAAAATTACTCACGTGCAAAATTCCACCTCTCGGGGAAGGGAACATTTCCATCACCCACCAAACCAACGGTGGGGGCAGCAACAAACCTGGCATACCAGCCACGGTCTCTGTCATCCTCTGGACTAACCAGAACTCTTTTGTTCCTTGCTACAAGAGTGAAAACACCATTGCAAAAAAAGTATGGGGGAATAAAGATGAATTAGATGGGAGAAAGTAAAAGGCACACCAGCCATATTGGTCAAATGCCTCAAACAGGCAACCACCCTCCATACTATAGGGCCAATCTGACGTAAACATACGTCGAAAAAATGACAGAATTCTAGGATGACAGGGTCAATAGAAGGTTTGATTCCTAAGGTGAAAGGATATATATAAACAAAGGAAAATACCATCAAATAAGAGGTGATTCTTTGGTTCGCATTAGGAATTATGATGGGGAAGTCATGACTCCAATGGCAGTCTTTACGAACTAAAAAAATCAGACCTTCAGTGATCTGAGTTGGGATATCAGCATGATCTAAAGAAGATACTTGATTTCTAAGAGACTCTCTATCATTATAGAAAGATAGTTCCGCAGGAACTATCTCCTCTACTAGAGGTTCACGAAGAGGCTCAGAGGATTCCTTACTTCTAGAGGAAGATATATGTGAAAGAGAACCTCTGGTTCTAGAAGAAGGGCCAGAACTGGATGAAGGGAGAGAAGAACCATGTATGGATGAAGACCCTAAATTACGTAGTCTACCTCATCCTCTTCTACTCCTATTAGGGACAAGAGAAAAGTTATCAACTATGGGGACTCTCCTAGGGTTAGGGTTTGGTAAAGCCATGGCAGTACGAGGAAGGTAAAGAACAAGAATTGAATATTCTAAGAGTTTTACGAGGAAGATGAGAAAAAGAATTGAATATTCTGAAAGCTTTATGAGGAAAAGACAAAGGCGAAAAACTAAATTTATACTAGGAAGCAACCGTCAAAGGAAAAGGTACAAAGATGGAAAGGTCATAATGAGAACTGTCGCTTCGTGATTAGTGAAGCCGTAAAAAAGCCTTAAAAGGCGCTGCAAAGTTGCAAAGCCAATAAAAGGGCGCCACGTGTAATAAGCATTAAATGGAAGTGACAATTGAAGCATCGATTCTAACATAGCATTAATGGCGGTAAATATTCCCGCTTTAAAGAAATCCACTTCCCAAATATTCAATTGATGAATAAATGGCAAGTGGGGGGACTATCTGTATTGGGTAAAACTGAGTTTAAGATGACATGTCATGACACGTAGGCAGGTCAAAGAATGATGATTAGCAAAAAGGCACGAGTTGCAACAGATACGGGCGGAAGCACAAGAAGAGGCACGAGCAAATATTCAAAAGACTCGATGATCGTACCTGTTTAAGTCTAAAAGCTGAGAAGAATGAACCCGACAGCACAGGAGAGCCCAGATACAGTATTTAATAAGCATTAAATACTGAAAACGTTAGAGAACCTGTATTAAATTACAATGATTATGTAACGTAGCATTTAAAGCCTTTAATCGTCCATAATGACCTTATTATGACATAGACAAAACGTATAACTTAAAAATAGCTATAAAAGGGAGAAGACTGATCATTTGTAGGGACACGGAAAAAATCAACTGAATATATTGGATTACTTTAGTTTCTGCTATCTATTTGTTATCAAAATCAATTTCTTTTATTCATTTTTGATTATCAGTAACCCGAGTTCTTCTAAAAATAAAGCTTTGACTGAAATTCCATTTTTTGGTTAATCACTTCCTTTTCTTGGATAGAGTTCTCTTCATGTAAAGAATCCTGCTCCTATCAATTATGCAACATTTTCATTCAGGGAATATCAGATATAACCACTTATACTTATCCCTTTAACGTACATGACTTTTGCTTGATTCTGTCCGTCACTTATGTACACTGTGCATGGATATCCTGATTCATGCATGTGTTCTTTTGTCAATCATCAAAACCAAAATTGTTCGGGGCAACATGAGAGACAAAGAAAGAAAAGCAAGAGTTGATACAAACCGTACACGTGTACACACGCGATCTTCCAGCAATCTTTACATTCTCACCGTTCTCGTAGACACTCATTTCAGCAACTTATATTTCTTTTAGTTTTTTTTTTGATTGTTAAAAAATTTAGTATATTATCTTCTTGCTCAGTAATTATTAATTAAATTTTCCATATTTTTTTTAACAAAACAATTTCGTACTTTATGTAACATAACCCACTATCATATGATCAGATAAATGAATAAAGAAAAGGAAAAGATCATTTGTTAGTTTGGTACATTCAATCAAGAAAAGAGAAAAAATAGTACTATACTTGATTTTAAACGGTCAAGAAGTAATAATGTGTCGTCCTTTCCAGAGCTAAAGTCAGAATTTGAAGTTTATGACGTTTGAATTTACCATTAAAATCATAGCTCATTTTAGTTGCTGAGTTTACAGTTAAATATTTATACATATTTAGTGACATCCTGATACAAATATATAATCTAACCAAGACCTATTGGATTAACGTGAAACCTTATCTACTTCTCTAACTCACCTCTGATCCTTCCTAGAGATAAGCCTTTATAAAATCACATACCAACCTCTCACATACCAAAATATATTTAGCTCCCTATCTCACTCTCTGTCAAAAATAGATCTGTCTTTTAAAATGGCAAAATCCATGCGCTTTTTTGCCACTTTGTTACTTCTAGCAATGCTTGTCATGGCTACTGGTTCGTCTTCTTCTTCCTTATCAAACTTGTTACCTATTTTTTTTAAAACGTTATTCGATGTTTAAATCAATTAGCTTGACTCCTTTCTCGCTGGATAAGTCCGTTGAATGGATAAAACAATTTCTACCAAAAGATTCTTTATTCACATGGCTTCGAGACTTCTCATAATAAAAAGTAAAATAATTGTTTGTATTGTGATTCCATATTACTAAGTAGTAATTGTTGGGTTTTGGATGTGTTTAATTAATATATTAAATACTTAAAAGAGGGTGAATGGGAAATGGAGGGAAATAAAATTTTTGAGTGAAATTTTAAGTTCCCCCCTTGGCAAATGGGCATTGTCCCATATTGGAAGAGGAAGAGGTTTTTTCTGGGTATATAAGCAATTGCTCTTCTTCTAGCTCTTAAAGAGTTGAGAAGAAGGCAAGCCTCGCGCCGTCGTCGTCGCTCGCTCGGCTCGGCTTCGGCTTCGGCTTCAATTTTCCCTCTTTATTATTGAGTAAATGGCCATTTATGTAATGGCATTTATGCTGTGGGCGTTTTGCATAAACAGCCATTCTGAAGAGTTGCACCCTCTTCAGATTTCAGCCTAACTTTGGCTATAAATACAACACTATTCTGCTCAGAATTTCACTACGATTTTCTGAGTTTCTTCTCCTTCTTCTGCATACTTTTAGCATCAAACAAAGCAAAAAGTAAGTGTGATTTGCTACCGAACTTTGTGTTCGCTAAAACACTGGGGTTTGAAGTACCACTACACCAGTGTGTAATTCGTTCTATCCTGGGAGGAAATAATCCATAACCTTGGGTACTAGGAGGGGATTAAATTCCTTAAGGAAACACTGTGAATTCAGTGGGCTCGAATTGGTTTTATGTCATTTCTGTTTATGTTCATTTCTGTTTATACTCATTTATATTTCCAGAATTATTTTACAAATACAGTTTACTAACAAGCTTAAGGAATTTAATTTGATTTCTGTATTTGTACTTACTGTTTCTGGAAGAGTAAAACCTTTGTGGTTTTGTACTCTATTAAAATCTACGTGATTTTAACGTTTCTGTCATTCTTTTACAGAAATGACTAATGAAAATGAGAACCAAGCTGTTCCAATGGTGACTGCCAATGCCTCAACAAGTCGAACGACACCGGCAGCATTGGCACCGGCGGAGAAACCCGGAAAATTTTTCGGGATTGATTTCAAGTGCTGGCAGCAAAAGATGTTCTTCTATTTGACTACTCTAAGTCTCCAGAAGTTCATCAAGGAAGATGTTCCTGTGCTGTCCGACGAAACTCCAGAAAGTGAACGCTTTCTCGTGATTGAGGCGACGAAACTCAAATTAATATTGATGTTGAAAGTAGTAATCTTGGTATTTTTACTAATAGAAATTTCATTGAAGGTCTTGTTATCAATGAAGCATTTCAAGTAGCAGCGATGATTGAGAAGTTGCCTCCTTTGTGGAAGGACTTCAAAAACTACTTGAAACACAAACGCAAGGAGATGTCCCTTGAAGATCTCATTGTTCGGTTGAGAATCGAAGAGGACAACAAAGCTGCTGAAAAGAGAGGCCGTGGAAACTCAACAATAATGGGAGCAAATATTGTTGAAGAGAATAAAAAGAGGAAGAAGGCTTCTGGATCGAAATACAACCCAAGCAAGAAGCGGTTCAGTGGAAACTGCTACAACTGTGGAAAAACTGGACACAAATCTATGGAGTGTCGTGCTCCAAAGAAAGACAAGAAGAAGGGTCAAGCAAACATGGTTAAAAAGCGTGATGATGTTGATGATTTATGTGCCATGCTTTCCGAATGCAACTTGGTGGGCAATCCTAAAGAGTGGTGGATTGATTCTGGAGCCACTCGCCATGTTTGTGCTGTTAGAGAAGCTTTTGCTTCTTATGCTCCTGTTGGACCCGATGAGACGATTTCTATGGGAAATGCTTCAAAGGCGAAGATTGAAGGATGTGGGAAGATATTTCTCAAAATGACTTCCGGCAAAGTGGTGACTTTGAACAACGTCCTTCATGTTCCCGAGATTAGGAAGAATTTAGTCTCTACTGGACTTCTTGTTAAGAATGGTTTTAAATGTGTTTTTGTTTCCGATAAGGTTGTAATAAGTAAGAATGAAATATTTGTAGGAAAAGGTTACCTAGCAAGGATTTAAAACAAGTTCAGGAAAAAGCAATATGTAAAATTAAAAAATTCTTACCGTGAGTTTTCACTTTCCAACCAAATCGTTGGGAAAGAGTCTTCCAAGATCTACCCTCCATTGGGCAGTGTTCACCAGTTTTCCTACCCAAACATGGAAATTGGGAACATCGCCACAAATCTCCATGGTTTGCTGGAAAATAAAAAGGAAAATTAGAATAAATAATCATCAAAAATTGAAGGGGAAAAAGTACGGAAAAATTACTCACGTGCAAAATTCCACCTCTCGGGGAAGGGAACATTTCCATCACCTACCCAAACCAACAGTGCGGAGGGCAGCAACAAACCTGGCATTACTAGCCACGGTCTCTGTCATCCTCTGGACTAACCAGAACTCTTTTGCTCCTTGCTACTAGAGTGAAAACACCATTGCGAAAAAGTCTAGGGGAGTAAAGATGAATTAGATGGGAGAAAGTAAAAGGCACATCAGCCATATTGGTCAAATGCCTCAAACAGGCAACCACCCTCCACACTATAGGGCCAATCTGACATAAACATACGTCGAAAAAACGACAGAATTCTAGGATGACAGGGTCAATAGCAGGTTTGAATCCTAGGCTGAAAGGATATGTATAAAAAAAGGAAAATCCTATCAAATAAGAGGTGATTCTTTGGTTCGCATTAGGAATTATGATGGGGAAGTCATGACTCCAATGGCAGTCTTTACAAGCTAAAGAAATCAGACCTTCAGTGATCTGAGTTGGGTAAATATCAGCATGATCTAAAGAAGATACTTGATTTCTAAGAGACTCTCTATCATTATAGAAAGATAGTTCCGCGGGAACTATCTCCTCTACTAGAGGTTCATGAAGAGGCTCAGAGGATTCCTTACTTCTAGAGGAAGATATATGTGAAAGAGAACCTCTGGTTCTAGAAGAAGGGCCAGAACTGGATGAAGGGAGAGAAGAACCATGTATGGATGAAGACCCTAAATTACGTAGTCTACCTCATCCTCTTCTACTCCTATTAGGGACAAGAGAAAAGTTATCAACTATGGGGACTCTCCTAGGGTTAGGGTTTGGTAAAGCCATGCAGTACGAGGAGGTAAAGAACAAGAATTGAATATTCTAAGAGTTTTACGAGGAAGATGAGAAAAAGAATGAATATTCTGAAAGCTTTATGAGGGAAAAGACAAAGGCGAAAAACTAAATTTTATACTAGGAAGCAACCGTCAAAGGAAAAGGTACAATGATGGAAAGGTCATAATGAGAACCGTCGCTTCGTGATTAGTGAAGCCGTAAAAAAGCCTTAAAAGGCGCTGCAAAGTTGCAAAGCCAATAAAAGGGCGCCACGTGTATAGCATTAAATGGGAAGTGACAATTGAAGCATCGATTTCTAACATAGCATTAATGGCGGTAAATATTTCCCGCTTTAAAGAAATCCACTTCCCAAATATTCAATTGATGAATAAATGGCAAGTGGGGGACTATCTGTATTGGGTAAAACTGAGTTTAAGATGACATGTCATGACACGTAGGCAGGTCAAAGATGATGCATTAGCAAAAAGGCAGACGAGTTGCAACAGATACGGCGGAAGCACAAGAAGAGGCACGAGCAAATATTCAAAAGACTCGATAGTATCGTACCTGTTTAAGTTCTAAAAGCTGAGGAAGAATGAACCCGACAGCACAGGAGAGCCCAGAATACAGTATTTAATAAGCATTTAATACTGAAACGTTAGAGAACCTGTATTAAATTTACAATGATTATGTAACGTAGCATTTAAAGCCTTTAATCGTCCATAATGACCTTATTATGACATAGACCAAAACGATATAACTTAAAAATAGCTAAAAAGGGAGAAGACTGATCATTTGTAGGGACACGGAAAAAATCAACTAATATATTGGATTACTTTAGTTTCTGCTATCTAATTTGTTATCAAAATTCAATTTCTTTTATTCATTTTGATTATCAGTAACCCGAGGTTCTTCTAAAAATAAAGCTTTTGACTGAATTCCATTTTTTTGTTAATCACTTCCTTTTCTTGGATAGAGTTCTCTTCATGTAAAGAATCCTGCTCCTATCAATTATGCAACATTTTCATTCAGGGAATATCAGATACTAACCACTAATACTTATCCCTTTAACGTACATGACTTTTGCTTGATTCGTCCGTCACTTATGTACACTGTGCACTGGATATCCTGATTCATGCATGTGTTCTTTTGTCAATCATCAAAACCAAAATTGTTCGGGGCAAACATGAGAGACAAAGAAAGAAAGCAAGAGTTGATACAAACCGTACACGTGTACACACGCGATTCTCCAGCAATCTTTACATTTCTCACCGTTCTCGTAGACACTCATTTCAGCAAACTTATATTTTCTTTTAGTTTTTTTTTTTGTATTGTTAAAATTTAGTATATTATCTTCTTGCTCAGTAATTATTAATTAAATTTTCCATATTTTTTTAACAAAACAATTTCGTACTTTATGAACATAACCCACTATCATATGATCAGATAAATGAATAAAGAAAAGGAAAAGATCATTTGTTAGTTTGGTACATTCAATCAAGAAAAAGAGAAAAAATAGTACTATACTGATTTTAAACGGTCAAAAGTAATAATGTGTCGTCCTTTCCAGAGCTAAAGTCAAAAATTATTTCTTGGGCCCTTTCCAAAGAAATACGAGAAGCCACGACCGCCTCGGCACTAATCCCTCGAACTGCAAATCCTGATAAAANNAAGAAGACTTGGGAGTTGCTTAGATTTAAGTTCTAGGGGAATTAAAGATACCCATTAAGACTTCTCAAGGTCTAGCATTGTCACAATCTCATTATATTAAGACAGTACTTGAAAAATTCAAGCACTTGGGCTTTAAAATTGCAAAGACTCCAATTGATGTGAATCTTGCATTAGCAAAGAACAAAGGCCAGAGCATATCACAATTGGATTATGCTCGTGTGTTGGGTTGCTTAATGTACATCATGAATTGTACACGACCAGATATAGCTTGTGCTATAAGTAAATTGAGTCGATATACGAGCAATCCAGGCCAATCTCATTGGATGGCCATGAAACGAGTTTTGGGGTATTTAGTACATACCCAGGACTTTGCTTTGCACTACAATAAATATCCTGCGGTCATTGAGGGATACTGTGATGCAAATTGGATCACCGGATCAACTGATTCCAAGTCCACAAGTGGATATGTATTCACTATTGGTGGAGGAGCGGTATCTTGGAAGTCATCCAGACAAACTTGTATTGCCCGCTCTACAATGGAGGCTGAGTTCATAGCCTTGGATAAAGCCGGTGAAGAAGCTGAATGGCTCCGAAATTTCTTGGAAGATATTCCATTTTGGCCCAAACCGTTGGCACCAATATGCATACATTGTGATAGTCAAGCGGCAATTGGAAGGGCTGAGAGCGTTATGTATAACGGTAAGTCTCGCCATATATGACGAAGACATAAAACCGTTAGACAATTACTCTCTAGAGGAATTATCACGATTGACTATGTAAAGTCAAGTGATAATGTGTCGGATCCACTTACAAAAGGCCTAACTAGAGAGGTAGTTGAGAAGTCATCAAGGGGAATGGGACTGTGGCCGAGAACAAGTCATAGTGGCGGTAACTCTACCTAGAAGACTGGAGATCCCAAGATCTAGGTTCTAGGAGATCAAACAAAGTCATTTATTACTGTTCAACATTGTCAACTAAACTTTTGGTCCATTCTCGTGATGAGACAATGTTCAGTACCAAGGATAAAGCAGTAAGGTTTTTTAATGATTTCTAAATTTGATACGGGGTATATCAAATAGTGTATCTACGGGATGACAGGTTTAGGAATCACCTATGTAAGTGTGAAGTGTTAGCCGCTTCAAGGAGAACATTGTAAGGCCAGTTCTCTATGCACTTATGAAACCAGACGGTGTTCATGGCTGAAAAGAACACAACAATGAGAACCAAAGACGGTTAAGGGTTGGTTGTGTGACTTGTGGTTGTCTAGGTATACACTAAAGTTCGACGGTTCAAAGATATCAAATCTACCTATTGATCGAGTATATCCGACATAAGTTCACTACGGAAAGTTCAAAGGGAAACCTACTTATCCAGATGCAATTAATCCTTACTTGCGAATCACACAGTTTTTCATGCATTCTTCCGTGATATAGCCATTCCCCATTCATGTGGGGGATTGTTGGATTTTGGATGTGTTTAATTAATATATTAAATACTTAAAACAGGGTGAATGGGAAATGGAGGGAAATAAAATTTTTGAGTGAAATTTTAAGTTCCCCCCCTTGGCAAATGGGCATTGTCCCATATTGGAAGAGGAAGAGGTTTTTTATGGGTATATAAGCAATTGCTCTTCTTCTAGCTCTTAAAGAGTTGAGAAGAAGGCAAGCCTCGCGCCGTCGTCGTCGTCGCTCGCTCGGCTCGGCTTCGGCTTCGGCTACGGCTTCGGCTTCGGATTCGGATTCGGATTTGGATTTGGTGAAATGATCGATTGATTGATTAACTTTTTGGACCAAATTTATTTGTTAATAGTAAAATATTAACAGAAATGTTATTAAATATTTGTTTTAATAACAAAATTTTAATATTAAATATTAATATTAAATCCAATCCGTTTTTCTGTTTTGGTAACAGAAAAGTAACTACCCTCTTCAATTTTCCCTCTTTATTTTCCCTCTTTATTATTGAGTAAATGGCCATTTATGTAATGGCATTTATGCTGTGGGCGTTTTGCATAAACAGCCATTCTGAAGAGTTGCACCCTCTTCAGATTTCAGCCTAACTTTGGCTATAAATACAACACTATTCTGCTCAGAATTTCACTACGATTTTCTGAGTTTCTTCTCCTTCTTCTGCATACTTTTAGCATCAAACAAAGCAAAAAGTAAGTGTGATTTGCTACCGAACTTTGTGTTCGCTAAAACACTGGGGTTTGAAGTACCACTACACCAGTGTGTAATTCGTTCTATCCTGGGAGGAAATAATCCATAAACTTGGGTACTAGGAGGGGATTAAATTCCTTAAGGAAACACTGTGAATTCAGTGGATTCGAATTGGTTTTATGTCATTTCTGTTTATGTTCATTTCTGTTTATACTCATTTATATTTTCAGAATTATTTTACAAATACAGTTTACTAACAGTAATTATACTACTACTTAAAACCAAAAAGAAAAGAAAAATTATACTACTACTACTAATAATAATTACTTTATGTTTTCTAAGCAGGGGAACATTTTATAAATACTCCCTCCCTTCATTTTATGTGTCTATCTAGAGGACTTTTAATTAGTAGGATTTTAAATTAGACGTGTGTATAATGTATTAAAAATACCCTTTAAATTTTATATTCTTATACACATCATATAATTTCCCATAAAGGGATGTCATTTACGGTAAATCGGAATTACCTTTTATCAAACGTGCATGTATGAACTTAAGTAGTAATTACTAACGTTAAGGTGTTTTTACGTACAAAGATGGGACCAATGACAATTGCAGAGGCAAGACATTGCGAATCTCAGAGCCAACGTTTCAGGGGACCATGTGTTAGGGAGAAGAACTGTACCGCCGTCTGTGAGACGGAAGGATTTTCCGGTGGCGACTGCCGTGGACTCCACCGCCGTTGTTTCTGTACTAGACCATGCTAAGAATGTTATTATCTATCTCTTATATGTGTAAAGATTTTAATTTGAGAAACTCGTTAATAATCACTATGATTGTTCAAGGATTAACGTGCTAGTTTTATTACTAAACTAGTTGTGATCTTTGATCGTAAGCAATTATGGTGGTCGATTGGGTAGTGCGGTTTGTGATTTATGTGATGTAATTTTTGTATTCTGCAACGTTATGGATAAAATATCTTCTTTCCTCTAATTTCTTGTGTATAGTGTGTGGTGTTTGTTTGACCAAAATTTAGATCTAGGTTTAAACAATTAGATATTCTTAAAAAGGTAGGGTTAATCTTAGCTAACGATAATATTCACTAGATTATTTAACTAATACCGTGACAAAATGCTACAAGATCTGCGGTAGCAGAGATGAATATATAATATTGAGCAACACTTAATGGCATAAATTGGAAGTAAATAACATTGAATAGCAACAAATGACGTATAATCGCATATTAGGCAAATAAAAGTAACAGATATGACTGAAAGGGGGGATGGAATCGAATAATGTTACTTCTGACAATGATAAATGACTGATAAGCCTTTTAATATTCGGATTCTCTTTGGATCGTGGGGAAAAGACTAGACAGGGTTCTCAAGAAAAATATGCCTTTTGTATATATTAGTAAAGCAAGAATCTCTAGAGAATGTCAAAGTGTTCTTGTACAATTGAATCTTCAATCCCCTTCTATAACTGGGTCTCTTTCTATTTATAAGGGGATATGTGCCAAAAAACCCTAACAGTAGAAATTCTGAGAATATTGCTGGAATTCTCGTTAAAATCTTATCCCTAAAACTAGTCGTTATTGCTCCGTTAGATGAGAGTGTTCGTCCTCGACCTCGGTCTCCCTTGACTCCTCGACCTTGCCTTCAGTATTTGTTGAACTCATGCCAATGGTACGTCTCCGTGGTGGAGCATGATCGTCTCCGTGGTCGAGCTCTCCGAACAGATAATATGGGTCGTGGTCGTTGTAACGAGCAGGCAACGTGGCTCTCTGTGGGATGCGTATTTCAAATCCCTTAAATTTTTCCGGTAATTTGTTGGAAATGTCTGGTTCAAGAGAGAGAGTGATGTCATGACATCATATGTCATGTTGATACTTGTTCCCGATGCATAACGTCGATTCGCGCGTGACATTTGATTGGATCTGCCGTTTCAATTCCGGTGCCAATTATAATGAGCCGTTTCAGGTTTGATCCCCATTATGACAGACCATTTCAAGTTTGGTGCCTCTATCTCTATAAATAGGGATGGCCAAACCTAATTTTGAAACTTTTATTCTTCCAAACTTTGAGACTTCAAACTTCCTCTCAGGACTTCTCCTCTCTGCTTCATTGTTCTATACCGCATCCCAAACTTTCTTCCCAGTATTCTTCTTCACTTTTTCATAAACATGTCGCATTTACCATATGATGTTGGTGAAGGGAGTCACGTCGTTCCGTTGGTAGTGGTGTTCCCTGCTCACAGGGAGAATATAGCTGCCACCGTGGAGGATGAAACTTTTCCATCGGTGGAGGAGATCATCCCCCGCAACCCTGAAGCCAGATCCGATTTCCAACGATTGCCGGACGTGGTGCTTGGAAAATTCCTGTCGACAATGGCGCCCAAACAGTTGGCTAAATTTAAAGCCAAGTTCGGCTTCCCCAACCATATCGAACTGATCCCTATTGAGGGGGACGAAGTACATGTTCAACGCCCCGGGTACTGCGCTCTATACACTTGCACGTTCACTATCGATTACTCATTTCCTCTTCTTTCGCTAGTGGAGGAGTTTTTTCCCCACTATGGCATCTGCCCCGCTCAGCTCGCCCCTTACGTTTACAAGGTCATCAAGATGTTGACCAAATTTTCTGATCTTGCCCGGGGTCGAGATAATAGTGCGGCATATAGTGCACTTATTCACCCCTAGCTTCTATAGGGGTCGATGCTGAACCTTCGCCACCGAGGAGGCAAATGCTTGGTGGTGAAGATGGACGACAAGGCAGTCGCCAATTCTGGCTTGATTTCTTTTATGTCAGGACCGAGGACATCGTGACTAACGTCGACGGCTTTCCCGAAGTTTGGAATCATATACGTAAGTGTCCAGTTTTCTTGTTTTACCTTTTGCATCTCTCTGCCTATTCGGGCTAGTTAAGTTAGTCTTCCTTCCTTGCAGCCAAAATCTATCCTCCTCCTCTAGCTGTACACATCGCAGACTGGGTCGGGCAGATTGTCCCCCATGCTGTATGGATTCGTGACTGGCCGAGCTTCTTTAAAAAGTTCAGGCCGGCTCTCCCCTCCACAAGTAGCTTCTCTTTTTGGCCATGATTGTTGCGTCTCTTCGTTGTATGTTGGCTTGCTTTGTTAACTTTTATGTTTTTTCTTTTCCCAGGTCCATTTAGGGGGTCTTCTAGAAGGTATCAGGCACCTATTCCCTCTTTTAGGAGAAGGGCTGCTATGCCTTCGGTTTTTGTCCCCGTCGTGGCAGCCGAACCTTCTATGCCTGCCACGGTCCTGGCTGCTGTGGCCCAAGAATCTGCCCCCGTCCCGCCTGCCACTTCTGCTCCTCAACTATTTTCGCCGATTAATGAGGACGACGAAGTCTCCCCTAGTGATGGGGATATAAGGCCTCGCAAGAGGAGAACCTTGGATGCCGAAGAAGAAATCCCTGTTGCCATTGACTCGATAGAGGATGACTTGGTTCTTAGAGAAACGGCGACGACTCATATTGAAGAAGATGATGGGGCGAGCACCGAAGCCCCCCAATTTGAAGAGGTGGCCGTGGACGTGCTGGTGTATACCGCGGGGAGACGGCCATGGTGGGGTCACTTGATGTCGGCCCCACACTTTCGAGACAAGGGGGTGCTTCATCCTCTAGGGCGGAAATGGATGTCTCTTCGTCAGCCGGTGATAGAGGAAAAGCCGTCGCTGAAGAGGACTTCGGATCTGATTTTGCTTGGACCTGGACGAGCTGAGAATGATCGACGAAGGCTCACCCAACTCGAGGTAAGGATGGAGGGGAGTTCTAGGACCATCACGATCCTATTGGATTGTGATTTGCTTGTACCGAGGAGGTAGTCCCTGCTCTAGATCCTCTCTGTTCCAAAGCCGAGGGTGAGACCCTGAAGAAGATAATGAAGAATATTGTCGATCTCGCTCTCAAGGTAAGTACGACTGTTATCCGCCCTTCTCCTTATTCCTTAGCTTCTTTATAGGTTCTAACTTCTTTTCTTTGTTTGCAGACGGACATTCTAGAAATTGAGAGTGCTCGGAGAGAGAAGAGATGTAAAGAAATTTATGTGAAGCTGAAAGGAAACTATACAGCATGCTATGGGAAGTACTGGGAGCTTTGAGAGCAGCTTCGTGAGAGAGGCGACGTGATGGCCTTAAGAGAATATTTGAAGAAGAAAGACGAGGAGCTGATAGAGGCTGTGGAAACGTTCAGCGTCATCGAGGGAACATTGAAGGCCAAGGAAGAGGATCTTGAGCTCAGTAAGTGCGTGGAGGCCCAATTTAGCGACCTTCAAGCTCATGTAGTCCAGCTGCAAGTCTCGTTAGACGAGTGCTAATTTCAGATGGAGGCTCTCAGGGGTGAGATTGCCGAGAAACATGAAGAGCTCGATTAGGCGGTGTTTGCTCGGTTGGATGCTCGGAGGAAGGTGGAGATTCTCCAGCTTGCGAACAGAACCCTTCGTTCTGAGTGGGAGAAATGACCTGTCAACGGCAAGGGCTAAGGAGGACCGGCTTGAGGAGAGGATCGCGGAAATGGACAAGGAAAACTTCTAGCTTTATGATCGAGTTGCCGCTATGGAGGCCAAGAAAACCCAACTCCTTGCGCGGCCTTCTTCGCCTAATGATTCTGATTTCCCCAACGTCCCTTGGGAGTTGTATGAAATCCATGTTGAAGCCCGACTGGATGTGTTCCCTGACTTGCATGCAACAGGCGCCGTTTCTAAGGGAGCTTTTAAGGATGCTCAGGTCAAGGATCGTGAGGATCGGCTTGCTTGTGGCTATGATCCTGCTACGCCTCAGCCTGGTGAGGAGGATGAGGAAGAGGGCATAAATCGGCTCGAGGACGATGCCTGGTATGACCCCGTTTACCCTCAAGGTGAGGACGGAGAGGATGTTGGAGGCCGAGATGGTGATGGTGTCGACGATCAGGGTGACGTTGTTGAAAGCCGAGATGACGACGATGTTGAGGGCCATGATAGCGATGGCCAGTAGTTTTCTTTTAACTTTTTCTATGTATTTTTTTGGCGTCTTCGAGCTTCTTTGTGAACAACGCTTTATCTAAGTATGAATATCAAACTTGTTCTTGTACCTTTTTTCAGTCCTGCAGTTTGTTGATGCACTTGTATGTTTTTGCTTTTGTTGTTTGCATGTTTCACCTTTTGTCCTTTTTATTATTGTCACCTTCAATCTGATTGTAGACTTTGATTCGAATAGCCATGGGCCATATCGGTCCTTTGTTTATATAGTTTAAGTAAGTTTCTTAGTTGGGATATGGCCGAGGGCCGATAGGTGTTGTTCGACCTTGGTCGAACTTAGCTTTTCGTGAAGTCGTGGCCAAGGGCCGATAGTTGTCTGTTTGATCTTGGTCGAACTTACCCTTTCATTAAGTCGTGGCCGAGGGCCATTAGGTGTTGTTCGAGCTTGGTCGAAGTGATTGCGGCCGAGGGCTGGTAGGTGTTGTTTTGAGCTTGGTCGAACTTAACCTTTCATTAATTCTTGGCCGAGGGCCTGTAGGTGTTTGTTCAAGCTTGGTCGAACTTAACCTTTTATTAAGTCATGTCCGAGGGCCAGTAGGTATTGTTCGAGCTTGGTCGAACTTAAACCATTCATTAAGTTGCAGCCGAGGGCCGGTAGGTGTTGTTCGAGCTTGGTCGAACTTAACCTTTAGTTAAGTTGCGGCTAAGGGCCGTTAGAGCAGTTTTGATAAGTGTGAATTTCTATTACTTTAGCGTTGTTGCTCCCATTACATAATTGAATAAAGTTACAAATTTTTGTCATTGGCTGGCGTTCCAATTCCAGTCCCAGTATATCTAGTCCCTTCATTGTTCAACTTGGAGAATCTTGAGGAGTCAAGCAATGAAAAAGAAATCAGTCTGTTCTTCGTACACTCTGACTCGAAGTGTCCCTATCATCACCTCATTAAAACCTCCTTGA